AAGACCCCAGTAGCTACAGACCTATTTCGCTATTGTGTCACTTTTTTAAACTATACGAGAGACTCATACTCGCCAGAATAGAAAAAAATGTCGACAAGCACCTCATCCCACAACAAGGAGGATTCAGACCTGGCAAATCTTGCACCGGTCAAGTCCTCGCATTAACAGAACACATTGAAGATGGCTTTAAAGAAAAACTTATAACAGGGGCTGCTTTTGTAGATCTGACAGCACTCTATGACACAGTAAGGCACAAAACATTGCTCCGTAAATTATACGACACTCTCAATGACCACCATCTGGGAAAGGTCGTATATTCCTTACTGCAAAATAGACGTTTTTTTCGTTATGCTGGAGGGTAAAGTAAGTAGGTGGAGAGTTCAAAAAAACGGCCTCCCACAGGGAGGCGTTTGGGAGTGTTTTAGCACCAATGCTCTTCAATATATACACAAACAACCAACCTACTCCAACCGAAACCAAGCACTTCCTCTATGCTGACAATTTTGCAATATGTGCTCAAGGAACTCGTTTTGAAGAAGTGGAAGAGAAACTCGAAACTGCCTTAAAAACAATGACAGCGTACTACCTGCAGAATTCTCTGAGACCTAATCCTTCTAAAACCCAAGTCTGCGCTTTCCACCTTCGCACAAAGGAAGCCAAGCGAAAACTCCAAATTGTGTGGAATGGTAATGCATTAGAACACACAAATCAACCTATATATCTTGGAGTAACTCTGGACCGGTCCCTCACCTACAGACAACATTGCATAAAAACAAGAGGGAAAGTAACAACTAGAACAGCATACTCAGAAAGCTAACGGGAAGTAAATGGGGCGCACGTCCTGGCGTTTTAAGAACAACGGCACAGGCACTGTGTTTCTCAACTGCTGAATATGCGTGCCCCGTTTGGAGCAGATCTGCCCACACCAAACAAGTTGATACTGCGCTAAATGAGACATGCAGGATAGTAACGGGGTGCATGAAACCAACGCCACTTTTAAATCTATATAGAGCAGCGGGTTTTGCAGAACCCTCAACACGCAGAGGCGCTGCAGAACACATAGAGAAAATTAAACATATCGCGGACGATCGGCATGCCCTATACAAAGCTCGAACACAACGAAAGCGACTAAAATCTAGGAAAGGCTTCCTTGGAATAGTGCCGGATGAACCGCCTGAGTATTTTCCACTTCCCCAGGTTCAATGGACCGGCCAGACCCTAGACTTTAAAACGTGGAAAACCTTGAATATGATAAGAACGGGGGTTGCTACAGTAAAATCAAACATGGCAAAATGGGGAAAAATAGACCAAGATGATGTGAACTGTGACTGTGGAGAAACACAGAATATGGAACATCTTCTTACATGCAGAAACTGTCCTCATCGATGTACCCTTGAAGATTTGTGGCTCGCCAACAAAGATGGAACCGACGTAGCCCGATACTGGGCCGAAATTTTATGAATGACATGTCCGGACAAGATAAAGTAAAGTAAGTAAAGTAAAAGTACAGCTCAGTAGATCTTTTTAGAGCAGCCGCCAATAAGGTACGGATAGCTGTGATGATAGCCAACCTCCGATAGGATAAGGAACTGCAAGAAGAAGAAGGAGAAAACTTTACAATAAAAATCAAAACTGTATCAGCTATAATGGAGCTACTCGCTACAGACAAAGACAATACTTATTTTTTACTAGATATTAATAAAACAAAAACAAAAAAAGGTTTTTAATTAAACATGGCCTTATTCATCTCTATTTTTATTTTTAGCAAGTTATCCTTATAATGGTTTGCCTTTTTTGCAATTTTTAGAGATACAGCAAGCTTGCCAGATTAACATGACTTGTAGATTGCATCCAGTTAGTTGATGAAATATAGAACTTACTGGTTTTGTTTTTGTTACTCATCAACCGCTTTTTTCATTCTTTACCAGCTGGATATTGAGTAGTATGTTTGCTGTATGTACTGAGTATGATTTTTAGTAAATTGTCTCTAAATTTGATTTCTGATTGTCTGCTAATTCTCTTTAATCGATTCAGAACAATTTTTAAATATTTTTTTTATAAAATAAATAATATTTGCGTATGCAACTAAAGAGCATCAGCTATACATCCAAACAGCCGAATGTAGCTCGTAAGTCGCAGATTGCTGACCCTTGGCCTAGGCCATTTAAAAGGGTGTACATGAACTGCCTTTCCCTAGTAGGTAATAAGCCCTCTACAGATAAAAAGATTTGCCTGAATGGGCTTCCGTTAAAATTTTCGGAAATTTAGAAACTGAATTGTTCCATCATTTTTTAAACTTAACTTCAAACTTATTTCAAATTAGTTTACTAACAGTTTTGCTTCTTGCTTGTTCTTGATAATATTGTCATAGAATATTCAAGCTACAGAAATGTTAAGAGGAACACGGAAACCCATGCTAGTGGAGAACATGTTTAAATATATTTCTACAAGTAATTGTCTGGAGAATTGAAGCGATGGCAGTGTTCATACTGTGAATGCAAGTCCTATGTGAAAAAGAAAACTTCCGCACCACACACAGTGCTCGACTTTGGTGATAAGCACAACCATGAAAGCAGCAGTCTGGAAATTCTAAACCGCCAAAAGCGCAAGAGTTCACTGAAGAGAAAGACTGTTAAAGACATTTATAAAAAGCCGATGAAACTTCTTTACAAAGAAGGGAAACGTAGTTCTGGCATTAAAACGCTTACTGTGAATGGTGTACATCTGATAAGGAAAAGCATGTACTACGATTAGAGAAAGGTCTATCCCAAACTACAAACGAGTGTGAAGGGAGTGCATGAACTTCTAAAGACAACTGAAATAGCGAGCAATGAAAGAGAGCAGTTCTTGTTAAAAAGCGAATCGGAGGCCAATTTTTGGTGTGTTCTTGTGAGACAAATTTAAAATTTTTGTGCAATTAAAATACAATTTATGTGGACGCAACCTTCAATACTGCACAAAATATTTTTGTTAACTGCTTACTGTTCTCGGGTTCATAAATGAACACTACAAACCTGTTGTATATATCTTGCTTACTAACAAGGAAACCATTTCCTACGTACGTGTGTTCCAGGTTTTAAAAAAGAAGTGTATGAGTAGAAGCATAATTTTTGACCCTGCCGTTCTGTATGTGGATTTTGAAATATCAATTCACAAAGCAGTTTACCCAGAATATTTGAAAGAATCAGACATTTTGTGTTCTTAAAATACGTGTTTGGTCTTTCTTTTCTAGATTACGAAGACGTAGGGGATTGTTTTGCGATTGATGTTGGAGCAATCTTACAGTTGATGTTAAAGACACCACGATTCTACTTATCATGTGGACCGAGAATATTATGTCTTTACAAAGATGGACGAATTCATGCAAGAGTTTCCATTTAAAATTCAATTCTTTGTTTTATACTTGGCATCCGAACATTTTCCAATTTTTGGATGTTTTGAAAAATGTTAAAATAGATGTATATATTAAAGTAAGAAGTAGTTATGTATCTAAACGAGTATACCGAAATTTTATTAAACATCAAATACGTCTTTTATAGGAAAAACATATAACTGCTTTTGAGTTTGTAAAAAATATGTCAAGAAAGTAGCAATCTCTATAGTCTGTAGCATACTATATTTGTTTTCACAAAATTGAAGTTTTAGAAGAAGATCTAATTTCTGGGAATATCGTAATGAGCGAAATTCGGTTCATGTATGGGGTTGGAAACCAATTCGCTTAGGATTAAAGGCGTTTAATAAAGCTTGGGGGTCAGTTTGTCCTCGAGCGCGACTAGTACGCACTCGAGACGCATCGTCTCGCCCCTAATTTTCCTATTGGTCCCTCACCTGGAAATCCGTATTTATCGCTACATCAGCGTATATAAATATTGGCGATTTTCAGGTCTACCAAGTCTAGGGAGAAAAGCTACACTAAGCTACCCCTACAGCTAGGTGGCCTAACCACAAGTCATGAAAAACGGAGGGTGTTTCTTTTCCTAAATCGCCCGACGTAACAGTTCATAGCCTTCTCTGCGTATGTCAGATGTAGAGGAGGGGTGGTGGAAAAACCTGGGGGTCAGATAGGTACCGAGCCAAAATGACTTGTTCTTTTGGAACGAGATCGGTCTGATCTTCGGACATGGGGGTTCCACTAACTAGCAGTGGTACACTCATGTTCCTTAGGAGTTGGGATGAACTATATGTGTGGTGTGTGTGGTCAACCAAGTCAGTCCCTCACAGGCTCTCCGAGAGCTTAGTGCTCTCGGGGCTCTGCTTTCTTGTTTTTAGCTTTCCCATACTCTATGGCTGAGTAATTATTCAACTAAATATTTGGTGATTTTATTTCGACATCCTTACCACTTTTGTCATCAGAAATATCTTGCCTTTTTCAAGGCAAGTCATCGAAGACGACGACCTGATGGATTATTTCGACAACTTTAATATCGTACAAAACATCGAGAATTACCGACCAATATCCTTGCTATCACATCTGTATAAATTACTAACTAAAATCATAACCAACCGCCTAACACATAAGTTCAATTTTTATCAACCTATCGAGCAGGCAGGATTCAGAAAACATTTTAATACCATAGACCACTTGCACACCGTAAGAACAATAATAGAAAAATGCACCGAGTATAATGTTCCAATTCATATGGCGTTTGTCGATTTCCATAAAGCATTCGATTCCATCGAATTATGGGCAGTGCTTGAATCTCTAGAAAATGCACGCATAGATTTAAGATACACTAACATAATTAAAAACATATATGAAAATGCCACCATGCATATAAAGCTGGACTTAAGCACAAAAACTAATCCCATAAGACTACAATGGGAAGTAAGACAAGGAGACACCATCTCTCTCAAACTATTTACCCTTGCTCTAGAAGATATTTTTAAGAAACTGGAACGGAACAATAAGGGTATCAACGTAGACGGATCATACTTAAACCACTTGAGATTCGCAGATGGCATAAGTTTTAATAGCCGATAATATCCAAGAACTAAATGATATGTTACAACAATTAAATGCAGTTGCAGGAGCGGTAGGCTTAAAAATGAACTACAGCAAAACAAAAATACTGAGCCGAGACCAGACAAATATAACAATACAAAACCATAACATAGAAAATGTTGAACAATATGTATATCTAGGTCATGTTATCACACTAGGAAAACCAAATCAAGATGGTGAAATTAAAAGAAGAACACTGGCATGGGGCGCTTTTGGCGAACTAGCACATATCTTGAAAAACACCTCCATTTCTATAAACTTAATGAAAAAGGTATATAACACATACATACTACCAGTTTGTACTTGGATTATCACTAAGACACAATATTAGAAACGCCGAGATAAGAGGTAGAACGAAGATTAGGGATATTGTGGAAGAAATTACAAAAATGAAATGGCACTGGGCAGGTCACGTAGCCCGATATAATGACAACAGGTGGATACGGAGAATTCTAGAATGGAGACCAAGGACGACAACAAGAAGCATGAGAAGACCTCAAAAAAGATGGGTAGATGACATAAGAGCAGTGGCAGGCAAACATAGGATTAGATAGAGAAAGATGGAAGCAATTGGGAGTAACCTACATTCAGGAGTGGATGGAAAATGGTTGACAAAGAAGAGAAGAGAAGAATATCGTAAGGATTTTTGTCATGTAAGAAATAGCTCGTCTTTATTAAGACGAGCCATCACAAGAGAACATTTTACGAATCCATACCCTGTAAATGGATTTAAGTAGATGAGCTATCGTTGACGTTTCCGAAGCCCTCAACAGAGCACACGGAGGTTACAGAAGGTGTTTAGACCCTTATTTGTTCCCCCGAGGTGAGAAGTTAAGGTGTGCCGATTTCGAAATTTTTCCAGCAGTGACATATGGAAGTAAAACATGGACATTGAGAAAGAAAGAAATCAATAAGCTATTAGTATGGGAACGCAAAATCCTGCGAATTATATATGGTCCTTGCAGGGACAGCGTGACAAATGAATGGAGGAGCAGATACAACAATGAATTAGAGACTCTCTTCGGGAAAGGAAACATCGTAAGATACATAAAAGCCAATAGATTAAGATGGGCAGGCCACGTGGTACGGAGTGATGACGACAGACTGATTAGCAATGTGTTTTGGGAAAGACCAGATGGTAAAAGATCGACAGGAAGGCCTAGAAAAAGGTGGAAAGACGCAGTCAGGGAAGACCTGGAGAAGATGGAAGTAAGGCCATGGGAAATAATAGCACATGATCGGAATCAATGGAAGGCAATAGTAAACGCGGCAAAGACTCACGAAGAGTTGTAAAAGCCAATGATGATGATGATGATTTCGAAATAAATACTGAGTATCACTAATATTGTTTTAGTCTTCTGGATGTTCTAGCATCATATTGCGGTAATCTAGGCAGTATTTAGCTTTTTTTGATACGTTAGAAAGGTTGTATCAACCATTTCTATGGAATATTTCCTGATTTTTAAAATATTGCTAAATAAATTTATCAATACATGTATTTGCTCTTCTTGGATAGTGTAAGGATTTCTGCCGGTAGTTCGTTTGAGCATGGTGTTTTTCTGTCTTTCATTAAACTTATTGTACGAATTGCAAGAATTTCTTTCTTTTCTTGTCGATACCTTTATCTCCGTACATGCGTTCAATGTAGTTTTTTTTCTGCAGCCTTTGTAGACCTTTCAGTTTTTTAACCTTTTTGTGAAAATTAAAGATGTCATGCTTTTGTTGTCATTATTTAATTTATTCGCGCTTTTTTTATAAAAAAAATTTTTCGCTATCTCTATTTTCTGTTTGTCCTATAGTAATTTTGGTGCTTAAGAGTATTAGTTAAAATTAATCTTGAATGTCTTTTTGTTTAAAATATAAGTATAACTTTAAAAAAAGTTGCGCGCGATAAAAGATTTTTTACGGTGTTCAAAAATCCTTATGTCTTTTATCCCGAGTAGAAATATGGTTGATATAAAGATTATGAGCTACAGTTATGTCGTTACAAGCAAGCTGAGATGCAAACGTGAATTTTTATCGCTATATTAATGTTTTCTGCTGTAATAATTTCGTTGTTAATGGCTAATGGTATCAGTCGGCTATGCTGTGGGTGGGTAACGTATCGTAAATGTAACAATTACAACTGCAATAATTCAATATATGGTCGAATGTAGTTAACCCTGGAAGAATTACTTTTTAATTGATTGTTAATATTGGACTTTTAGTCAATTCGGTGTTAATCACCTTTATAATTCATTAGGTCTAAATGGAGAGTGGGCATGATACACGTTTGTAGGTGTAAAAATTAAAAACATAAAAATGTACTTCCACATACAGGCTTGCTTCTTTATTTAGGATACAACTACTTTGAAACATTCACTTAAAAAGTCTCTGGAATTATTTTATTATGGTATGATGAAGTTAAATATTACTTTTTTTGGGATAAACGATGGAAGAATTTATGGTAGAGTCTGAGAAATATATCGTCGGCTTAAAAGCACACACTTTCAAAGTGTCAAATTCAGTCAATGTCAATTGTTTTTCCATATTTAGTTATTTGCAGCATTTTATTGTATTTTTTGTACTCTATAGACTGGTTAAACTCACTAAGTTATACAATTATTATGTTTTTCACTAAGTCTAAAAAATTATAAAATGATTCAGGCAAAATTACTTTAACATGGGCAGCCTTTGGAAAACTGCGAGACACACTTAGGGCCAACATACCAATCAGCCTCAAAAGAAAAGTGTTTGACCAATGCGTATTACCGGTCATGACCTATGGGGCGGAAACTATGACTTTAACCAAGACCACGGCTTCGAAACTGAGAGTGGCACAGAGACGAATGGAACGGTCTATGCTGGGAGTGACGTTGAGGTACCGAATAAGAAACGAAGATCTGCGAAGAAGGACGAGTATTACTGATGTTGTGAAACGCATAGCGGAACTAAAATGGAACTGGGCAGGCCATGTAGCGAGAATGCACGATTCACGATGGACGAGCAAAATTACAAATTGGAGGCCAAGAGCAGACAAACGCAGTAGAGGAAGACCACCTACACGTTGGGCCGACGACATCATTCGTATCACTAAAAATTGGCAACAAAGAGCACAAAATCGTGAGGAATGGAGGAGTTTAAGGGAGGCCTATGTCCAGCAGTGGACGTGATAAATAGAGGCTGGATGATGATGATGATGATCAGGCAAAATACACTAAGTGACTTTAAGTGTACTTCACTTGACTACGAATGAACCTATTGACTGACTTACATAGATCGACTTGTTCAATCTTGTTAAAAATGAATTATTTGTTTGGGTATATTGCATAGGTTGTTTCAGTTTTATTCAAGTGTTTTGTGCGATAAGAATGAAAGCGGTGAATATAGTGGAATATACAGAAGAAGCCGTAAGATTCCTGCCAATAAAACCCCAGGAAACGAGAATAAGAGCAAAAAACACATTGAGAGCTTTCCTGTTGTAGAAAGTCACTACACTAGAAAATTTTTAAAAAGACTTTATTTGGACTGCAATCTCAATATTAAAAAAAATGCACGAACTGTTCGTGGAAAAGTGTAAAGAGGACAATTTGCCAAGCTTAAGTCAGATAACTTATAGGCAAATCTTTTTTATTTGCCTATAAGTTATCTGACTCTGAAATTTAGACAGAAAAGAGGCCGCAATGAAAGAAAAAAATTAAGACAAATAAATAGCGAAAAATAATAAAAAATTTAAATTATTTACATGTAATATGTAATGCGTTTTACAAATTCCATCATCGCAAGTAAGTCTCTTGTATTATCTTAGAAAATTAAATCCTCTATAATTTTACAATATATAAATCTGCTCCACCAAATGAAGCATTCTGTTATTTTTGAACCAAAGTCGATGGTCAACGTCGAAGCTGTGAAATTGGTACTTGCCTGGGAATGTACATTAACTCATTATCTGGTATAGAACATCTAACGATTTTTCTAGATACTTGTGGATGACAGAACAAAGATATTCAAGTATCTGCTCTGCTTTTACATATTGTTAAAAATCATCCGAGTCTTCGGATGATTGAGCAAAAGTTCATGGAAACTAGACACTCCTATATGGAAGTAATAGCGCTATTGAAAGTGCAAAAAAAACGTGGAGATTTTTAGTGTTCACGAATATCAAAAAGGTCTTTAAAATGGCCATAATAGGCAACAATGGAAATAAATCTTCCTATAATACTCTTTTTAAAAAGAAAGAGGTTCAAAATGGGCAAACGGTAATTCTACAGTACAAGTATAAGAATATGAAAGTCACGACGAATATGAAAATATTAACGTTAGTTTTCTACATGGTGCTTCTAACAGAAGAGACCAAGAGGATAATAATGAAAATTTGGTTATTCCTTAATTTTTATTCCTTAATGTTTACTTTTAATTCTAAATAGCTTCCGATTTCGGATGCAAAGAAAAAAGATTTGATAAAGCTCTGTGAAAAAAATATAGTTCCGCAAGTTAAAGTCCAGTTAAATTATCATATCAACATATCAACATATCAACTTAAAACAACAACAAAAAATAAGTGGTAGAATATAATAAGAAATAAGAATAAGTGGTAGAGCCCAAAATACCTGCTTTGACAAAAACGCCTTTCAGGAAGAAAAAAACTGCCAACAAAATTTTAAAACTGTACAGCAGTCTTACATGAGAAGAACCAAACAAATTTTTAATGAACATTAACAATTTTTTTCTAGAAAGAATGACAAATTCGGAATCAATGAAAAATAAAAAGATTAAACTTAAAGTTTTTAACACATCATACCATCTATTATATAATAAAGCATGGATATTACAAGAAAAAAAAAACACGAAACAAAAATAAAAAATATAAAAATGAATTATTATAGGTTTGTTTGCTAATAAGACCAAAATAGAAAAATTGAAAACCAAAAAAAAACAGATACGTCATGAAATTTTACTAGGAAAACCAACGTAACTTAATTAACAGGATAAAAGAACCAATTTGAATGAGGAAAAGACCAGTGAGAGCAAAGGAAAGAAAAAAGGCAGACTGAGAAAAATAGATAGCTAAGTATAATAAATAAACCAAATTAAACAACAAAGGGGAAATGGTCAGAAAAATCAGTGCAGACTAAAAAAACTGAAAAAAATGAACAAACATACGTTAACGAGAAAAACAGTTTATTTTTATTACTAGTGTTAAATTCGTATATTTACAACACATGGATTGTGTTCATTTAAAATAAAAATTGGTATGATAAGGCCCTTTTCATATAAGTATTATTAATCAAACAAACAATATTATTTTACTTTCTTTTACTACCGTTTTTCATATATTGCTAGCTGTTTAACAATACAAGAAATCTATTGGGAAGGCAGTACTAAAGGTGTCATCCCACCGCTCTGTTGTAGTATTTTAATTAGTTGGTGTAAAGAAGACCCAACTTTTTTCGTACTAATTGACTTTTAAGTACTT